CGGCTCGAATGCCTTTACGCTATAGGCTGTGTTAAGCATGCTTCTTTGACGGAAAACACACTCTTTTTCCATGACAACAGTCGCGACTATAAAGGGCGGGGCGGTAAGCTCTCTATCAACAGGGGCTGCTCTCCTTTGTCAACTCCTTGCTTGTATCGTTGACTTTGTCAACCGAGCCTAACCAAAGCGTCACAACAACATCGAAAGGTTTACTTTGTCAACGCTACTAAGGACCGGGGCGAGCGGAATTCAGCAGAGGCTCGAAGAGGGGCTTGCTAAGCAAAAGGCCGAAGGCGGCTTTGCTATCCATCCTACTCACCGAAGGGCGGCAGGCAAAGCTGCAAGGAGATAGTGCAGCTTTCTTTGTTCTCATGGCAGAGTGAGGGGCGTTATCCATCCGCCAATAGAACCGGCTTTTAGTGAAGATCCGCTCATATGCTGCATGACGGGCGGCTTTGCTCACGAGTTAGCGATCAAGCGGAAAAGGACCTGCTGGCTTCTTTTCTTTCCGGAGCAGAGCTGCCTTGCTCGTAGCTCCCTATTGATATAAAAGGGGACGAGGGGTGAAAGAAAAATAAGAAGCAAGTCCTGAGGGAGTAAAGAGCCACCTAACGGTGGTTCTGCGCAAAGTGCGATCGATTGTCCTTCCTTTATAGATTGAACTACCGTAACTCCACTCAACCAACAAAGTAAATTCCATACTCAAAGTTGAGTTGCCGTACAAACTCAATATCTATAAAAACTAAGGGGGAAGAATTTTTACTGAAGCCGAAAGGTATCCTAAAGGAATGGTAGCACCACAATCCACCCAGCCGCGGCCATCTTAAACGGTTCGTGCGACGGCGGCGGAGGCAGGTTTGGTATAATCCATTCAATCTTCTTCTTTTCTTTCTCTTTTTCTGAATTTTCCTCTTCCCATGGAACTCCCTCTCCCTATGGTCGAGCAAGTTTCACTCCCTCTTGAAACATTTCCGGAGACTCGAGTCTTATTTCCTCTTCTTCCGGCAGCATTTCTCCTTTGAGCGGCATTTCCTCTTCTTCTTTCGTTTCGGCGGAGCTTCCTCTCTAGGTTCTTTCTTGCAGCCTTATCCCTTTTTTAATTCTTCTTCCAGGATCGCCTTTTGAAAAGCCGGAACATAGGGGTCATGATGATCCAGTGGGAGGGATCTTCCTCACAAAGCCAGAGAGTATTAATAGCTTTAATTGTAGTGATGGTAGGGGGCTGTTGGAAATCGGACACTTCCTCGGCCCAGCATGTTGAGACCAGAGCGTGACTAGGGAGCGAGTTCTTAAAAACTCCCATTTTATCGTTGGGGTTCTTAGGAGCTTCCTGTTCATCCACCACGTCGATTTTTCCTTCTTCTATGAAATCTTGGATTTTTTACTTCAAAGTCTAGCTTGCATCCGTCGCATGACCCCGTCCCCCCTCATTGGGACCTAAAAGAATTCTGCCAATTCCTTCCACCCCCCAGATACATACATACTTTTCTTCCTTTCTCCCATAAAGGCCTCCCTCCCTGAATCTTAGCTTTTATCTTTCTTATTTATTCTTACTACTATCACTTTATAAACCCGGCCGGCGGAAAAAAACCGTAACGTATCAAGGTCGTACGCCTGGAACAAAAAGGTTTGTCATACAATTTCGGCGATTACAAAAATCAAGGAGTATATCCCTCCCCCTTAGTGTCTTTCCACTTCCGGCGTTCAGGAGCAAACACTTCGCCTAATTCTTTTGAATCCCGGCCCCCGCTAACCAATTACGTTACGACCACTGAACAAACTTGGTTGACGAACATGGTTTATGCGCCGCTAATGTAGCGGCTTGTCGAGCATTTGACAAACTCACACCATCCATTTCAAATGGGATTTGTCCCGTGGACACACGAGCGATCCAACCCGTAGGATTTCCTTTTCCTCTTCCCATTCTTACTTCTGTAGGTTTCCGGGTAATAGGGAGATCAGCGAGAACTCTTACCCATATCTTACTATTTCTTCGGCTCATAGCACGATGGAATTGTCCGATTGTAGCCCGACGCGCTGCTTCAATGGCTCGATATGAAAGACGACCAGCTCTACAACTTTTAGTGCCATATCTTCCAAAACCAAGTTGTGTACCGTCCGGTTTGCAACCCTTACTACATCTGCCTTTACGATATTTACTATATTTCGTGCGTTTCGGATATAGCACGTCCCCCTTATTTTTTTAAATATGAAATCCACACTTTGACACCTAAGATTCCGTAACGGGTAGATACTTCCGCAGGAGCATAATCTATTTTCTGGTTAAATACATTACGAGATGTTTTTCCATACTTTCCGCATTCAGTTCTAGTTATTTCTGCGCCCCTCCACTTACTCGTAACAGGCTTTCCTCGCTAAACAAGAAGAAGCTGCTAAGGTTGCCCAATTCGTTCTATCATGGGACAGGCAGGGTTTCGCACTAAGCAAGTAAACTACCTTTATCTAACTGAGTTATCTGTCCTGTGAGACATAGAAGGATTATCTCATTAACTCATTCAATCAGGAAGAAGTTTAGTCATAACGATCAGGCTATTTCAGTAGTTTTAACCCTACCCTAAGAGCGTGTCTGTCCCTATATTATTTCCTCTAAAGTGGAGTCATGTCTATAGACGATAGGATCTTACGCTCATGGGAGACCGGCTCTATGCAAGCCGCAGCTCTGAACGCATATAGCTCTACTGGGCGTGAGTTTCTCGTTCCATGTGGGATAGCTTGCTCTAGTTGACACCCCGAACTATCACATCTTCCGTCTCGTTACCCTCTCCTTTCAGTCGAGCTACTTCGTTACCCTCTCCTTTCAGTCGAGCTACTTCGTTACCCTCTCCTTTCAGTCGAGCTACTTCGTTACCCTCTCCTCTGAGATACGAGCTTGACAACCACATAGTAATATCCTTTCAAGTACTCCTACAGGGATAGGATTTTCCTTCTTTTTTCGACAACCAGTATAGAAAGTATCTCGCCCCTCTGTAATTCTTATCCGTCCCCAGATGCTGAATGAGCTAATCCTGATCTTTCTCTCATAGGGTGAGAACAAGCTCGACCACTCTTAAGCTAGCCCGAAGCTTGATCCCGCGGCCCCGATGCTACACATCAGTTCAGAACTCTACACATAAGTTCCTTGGCTCTGCTCGCGAATCCATTGCAATTGGGGCGAAATAAATAAAATCCCTTTTTTCTCTGTCTGTGCGCTTAGCATCGCTTTAGCCGCATTGCTATTGCTATCTGGGAATCGGGGATCATTCCTTAGCGCTTCACACTAAGTAAGCAAGCTACCTCTCCCTATGTCGAGCAAGTAAACTACCTCTTACTCTGCCTCAACAGGATCTGGGCTCCGCTTGTCTTGGTCCTTAAGTGGAATTTAGGTACACAATATCCCTGGATTCTTCTTGCAGTTCAAGCGCAGCAAAAAGTAATAAAGAGCTTCTGCGCGATTTGCCGCCTTTTTTTCGAGGGATTCTCCGCCTTTTACTTTTCGCCGACATTTTTCTATTCTCCTAAAAAGAAAAAGTAAAAGCAGCAGACCTGTAGTCCCATTATCCACCTTTAGAGAAATTTTTAAAGAAGGTTTCGTTTAACACATCTTGGCCAAGCAGGAAGAGCGGGAAATAAGTGCTTTGCCGGGTGAAGGTGCTCTCTTCTCTACTCCTAGACATAGGATAGGGGCTCACCCTGAATCCATAGTATCCTCTGCATCTTATGCATCTTCTGTCTCGTCTCTTGGTTTCGGGGAGCCTGTGAGCAAGAGTTCTCCCCCGAAAGCGGCTTTCCATTCTAGGAGGGAAGTGGGCTTCATTCAATGGAATGCCTTGTTGGTTTAGCGAAAAAGGTAGTTTACTTGCTTAGTGCTTGCTTGCGCTAAGGCTATTTGAGATCCTTTTTCAAGGCTCAAGTACTCTGGCCTTAAGTAAGGTTCTGAAAGAACTTGCTTAGTGCTTGCGCTAAGGGCTTATACCCAAAAAGTATGACACGCACTAGATATAATGGGACGGACGGGATGAAGCCAATAAAGAAAAGACTATAAAAGAAGATAACTCAAATAAAAAAGAATGTGATTCGGGCATAGGTTGCCATGTGACTTTTTGATACTAAAGAGTTCTGTTCCCTTAGATGGGACTCTATTTAACATAACTAAGAGGGTCCGCCGTTGTTAACCGGGAAAAGAGTGGGACTTGAAAAGAGGATGGGAGACAGGGGAACTCAAACAAGTAATAGAAGAGAGGAGAGGGCCCCCTAAAAGCCGTACTGGTGCCGTTGTTTCTATACGAAAATAGTGTGAATTTAGTTAGCGGCGGCTATCCTGCATTATACTCTAGCTGAACAGTAATTCCGCCTCCTTTATAGCAGCATTCCTTTCCAAAAAAAAGGGTAAGAGAAGAGAGTTAGTGCTCATTGACCTCCTTTTTGTTGTTCGAAGTCAATGAATTCCTTTCTTACGCAATTATAGTTGGAAATGCTTTAAGCGCGTATTGATACTTCTTAAGTTGAGGAGGTTTTCGGTGTCGCCCTTACCCTTGGGCTTTTTCTTCTTATGTAGTTGAAGATACAACTTGTACTTTTGAATGTACGAATTCTGTAGAAAAGCTAGTACCTCGTTAGCATTGCAACAACACGAATAGAGAGCGAGATACTGGAATACTCGGGGAAGGAGCGCTCTCTCAAAGTGTTTTACGCGTTTGCCTTGTATCTTCCTTATGTCGTTGTCGATTGATTGAAACAATTTGTTTTTTAACCCATTAATGGCTGCCCTTAACTCCAAGTTTCTGTCCGGACGAATTTATATTAGGACTCCGAGAACTAAGGTAGAGCATGGCTTGCTTATTCCTCGAACGAGCTCAAAACTAGTTGCTTCCAGTTTGAGCTCAGTCAAGACTTCATTAAAGAATTGCTTGAACCCTTGGCTTACCATTTCTGAGTTGGCTCCTTCCTTAATAGCAAAAGCTATATCGTCAGCGTAGCGCACATACCTAATTCTCGCTTCTTTACTCATAAAGTCTTGCGTCTTCACATCAAGTTGGTGAAGAAAGATGTTCATTAAGACGGGATACAACGGGCTGCCCTGAGGGATCCCTTTTATACAAGAGCCATAAGTCTTACCTTCTTTATCTCTTATTTCCGTTTTTTAGAAAGCTGAAAAATTGAGTTACAAAAGCCCTCACTGCTCTCACCCATATCTAAACCAATTCTTCTATTTAGAAGAGTGTGATCAATGTTATCAAAACAACCAACAATGTCTGCTTTGAGAAATCGATCTACTGTCCCCCAACTATCAACATGCGCAAAGAAGGTAATGGGTCCTCTCCCCTTCCAAAAGCCATGAGAGTGGGTCAGAAGGACGTCCTCATAGACTATATTGAAGAGTAAGGAAAGGGCTTTTCCATGACAATGAGGTCCTTCTTGCATGGTGTTATAGGGCGCATTTTTCCTGGCTTGTTAGGCTTTGGAATCCACGACCTGTGCATCTCCGAGAACTGAAAGCGAAGAAAGCTTAACGCAAGCGACATAGGTAATCAAGCAGCAATCGAGAGCCGAAGGTCTGATTCCACCTAGTGGCGAATTCAACCAACAGAGAAAGCAACCCTAGCCCTTAGCGCAAGCACTAAGCAAGTAAACTACCTTCGTGAACGTCACAGCCGATGACCTATAGCCTTTATTTATTATCTAAATATGGTAATTGAAAGACTACAGAACAAAGTATGAACGTCCAGGAAGTTGCAAAGGGATTTCCGAACAACCCTGCAATCATACAGGACGTCAGGATAACAGGTAAGGAATCGGTAGCAGCCTTGAGATCAAAAGAAAATCATTTTTTCTTTCCTATCAGGTACTGCAACGGTTGGGTCTGGTTATAGGTACCACCCATTTTTAACCTTGCCAAAACCGTCATGGCCCAATCATGTATAGGCCGTACCGAGGCCTGATACAAGGGTGAGCCAATAGGGAATAACCTTTTCTTCCCTGCTCCCTCTCCCTTCATTCCCATCCTGCCAAGCTGCGGCTGCCATCGCATTGTATCTAACCACACTGTGGCAAATCGATACAAGTAGCTAAACAGCTTGCTATACCATACAAAGGTATCTCCGACCGAACGGTTAGGCAAGACTACGGCGCCTGGGTAAACATCCCGTTTACCAAACAAGACGTCGAGAGTTTCACTTAACCATTCCCCTCCTGCAGCCAAAGTGTTAGCGGCTGTAGCATCCACCGATAATGTGTGGAAGAGGGTAAGCTTTCTATGTGGATAGGACGTATCAACACCTTTTGCATCTTTTAAAGGAAATATATAAGAATGAATAATATTGTGTTGGGTCCTGAGGATCAGGATGGCCGAAGATCAAAACCTAAATGTGCCAGGGGTTGATCATCGAAGCCAGGGACGATGAAGGAATTTGAGCGCTGATGTAGCTAACAGCCACCTTCATAGTCGATTCATTAGGGTCGTCACCTTCTACCCGGAAGTATCCACCGTTTTCTTTGTCTGTTAAGCCTCACAGCTATGGGACTTCCTAAAGAAAACTGCAATCGTAGTTTATCAACCACTCACAAGACCACCGAGATCTTCGGCTTAGCTCCCAAAGGTAATCCACCCGGCCCTTGCCCAACCTATACAAGGGGAGCGGAAGATAACGAAAGGGAGACAAAGTCCTAACTAAATCATAACACAAGAACCTCCGTCTATATCATAACACAAGCTACCCATTCAGTCGAGTCGATCCGATTCGTTCTTATCTATAGATAACGCAAGAGATAACTTATGACTTCGCGGATGGAGAGGGATTCGAACCCCCGGTATTCCTATCAATACTTCGGTTTTCAAGACCGACTCTTTCAACCGCTCAGACATCCATCCTCTTCGCGCTTCGCTCGCCCTATCTATACGCGCGCTGGCAGGTAGGGGCTTATCTATGTGATTCGCTACGCTTGCTTGCGCATATCGGCGGACTCTATTGCCTGCCGGTTAGCGAAACTTTTCCGGTAGTACGAATCGCTACGGTTCGCTTGTTTCTATATGATAATATGCACCTTGGTTGCTGCGCTCCCCGCGGGTAATATAAAGAGAGTGAAGAACGAATGATCCTCCAAACAAAAAGAGTGATTGAGCCCGACTCAAGCGAGTGAGTGAAAGGCGTGGCAAGAGAGCGAGTTCGACTCGCGAACGATCGGCAAGTGAAGGACCGATCCTTTTGCGCCAGTACTGTTGCGAGACTTGTACTTGGCGGCTCACGAGCAACATATAGACTAAGGTTGCCCATCACTCCCCCGCTCTTTTTTGAAGTGAAGGCCTTTTCTATTCTCTTTCTAGTATGGTTCCTCCATAAGAACACTGAACGCCCAGCTTCGCAGAGCAGCTCTCTCCCCAACCCACAGCATAGTGCGGAATCTGGATCGTTTCATTGAGCACCATTTCTTTTAGATATAAAGGTGTTCTGACTCTATTGGATCAAGTCATAACCTACGCCTTAGTATACTATACTACTATGGAGAGACCAAGCTCTATTTCAGAGATTGGACTCTCTTTACTTTGATTAGCCCCTACTGGCGTAGTATGAGTTCTACGTTAGTAAACGAAGAATTGGGTGATATCAAACTCTATGTCCAAAAGTGGAGCACCATTATCTGATCAAGCTAAAGAAAGACTTCAGGCCAAATTAGATATGAAGGAAAGGTTGAAACGACAAGAAGAGCGCTTAGTGAGGAGACAGCACCGGAGGGAGGAAATTCTCGCGAATAAGGTAGTTTACTTGCTTAGTGCTTGCCCTAAGGGGATCCCCCTTTTCGCTATGTAGGTTCAGCTACCCGGCCCTCTCATTCCTTCCAAATCTAAGGGTTGAGGACCTCTTCATACGAATCTTTCTATTTCCTCTTAATGCTTCGAGCCACTGTCTCTTGAAGCCTTTGTAGCTGTTCCTGGACTTTGGATAGGTTCACCAAGTGGATTTTGAAAGAAAGGTTGTTGGCAAAAGCCCGGGTTAGGTGTGAAAGGTATTCGGTTGCCACCAGCTCTTAAGCACACCCATTGGCATTGATGGGATCGAAAGACTTTCGGTTTTGTGGACGTGTCCATAACTTTATCATGGATCTAATTTGGATGAATACACGGGAAGCCCAGAGACCTCATTTGGCATTGTGCGGCTTCCTTAGTGCAAGCACTAAGTAAGCAAGCTACCTCTCCCTATGGTCGAGCAAGTAAACTACCTTAATTGCACTAGCGCACTCAGGTGAGCAGCAAGCCGTTGGTTAAACCAATAGGGGCTCCGGCAGAAGGTACCACCAGACACCCAATCCCAGCAGAAGACATGTTAGTAGGGCGAATCGGCTGTCTTTGACGTAGGCGAAGGCCATTGCCTCTGATAAGCCGAGTGTCCTTGTACGACTACTTTGTCTTGCGGCGTAATCCAATAACGCGATCCAGGGGGTGGCTTTGTTGCCTCTATTTTGATCTATTGCCGAAGCAAAATGAAAGGGCAACTGGCCGATCCCGGTGGCAAGCGGTTTCCATAAGGATAATGGTTGGAGTTCCACTTTTTTAGCGAGATCTGTCTTTCCAAGTTTGAATTTTTGTTAATTTCTTCTAGCTTGGAAATCGGGTTGATCCATTGTCGCGATAGATGACTACCGGAAATCCCTGCCTTGATCGTTTTCGGAAAGCGCCTTCTCCTTTTTGGTTGGTTTAAGGGGCGAGAGGGGGCGTGGAACTACTACTACGATTCTCATTATTCTCATTTCGCTTTCTACTAAAAAGAGGAACACGGAAAAAAGGTTAAAAAAAAAGTGCAAAGAGGCGATTCATGACTCCAGCATAAAAAACAGCACATTAATCCCGGAGCTGTGGATGATTGAGACAGCTCTAAGATCTTGTTCGTAGTTTCCGTTTAAAAAGTTGTACTCATTGGTTTCGCTGAGAAATGTTTGGGAGAAGGATAGCGCACCATTAGTTGAACCATGTCTCTCGGATCTCTCGGAAAGCCTTTGGGTTGTGGGGGCTATTGTTTCCTTGAGGCATGGTTTGAGCCCTGGTGCGGAGCTCGGTAGTAGTCTGACTTCGGGAAGAAAACGGTCGGAAAGCACTCAGCTAAAAGCATGACAGCAATCCCAGCCCGCAACGGAAAGAAAAGCAGTCCCTACTGCCGCGTCAAGCTAGGCCTGAAACCCCCCCAAAAGAGAAAAGGAAAGCGCTGTTAACAGCAGGAAGAGCAGTCCGTACCGCAAGCAGTACCATAAGCGGTACCGCAAGCCGTACGTTCAGCAATTATTATACGCAAAAAACTGATAACGCAAGAAACGATTGCTTAATTACGATGAATATAGTCCCTAAAGACGAGACGGAGTCCCCCAGGACAGCTTTCTTTATAGAAGATGCCAGCGTTATAGAAGATGCTACTAGCGCATTGTACTGGCCGTAGGGGACTCAAGCCCTCGTCGATTGAGAGGAATAAGCCCCTCGCCTCACTCGTCAACTGTTATCATGACCTCTCGATTCTCCCCGGATTGGAGGATCACCTTTGACCTGCCCGACATGCTGTTGACTTGGAGAAAAATTCTCCGGCCGTACCTTCTGTGGTCGTTACGCTTGGTCGGCCGGGACCAAAGAAAAGTATAAGCTTCTACCGTGTAGAAGGCATTATAACTAAAGTACGCGACCTCAAAAATCAACATCTACATTTCGTCGCTACCCTTTCAGTCCTTTCAATGTTCATCTTCCCGCGTGAGGGTGATCAGCGCTCTCGTTCACGAAGCCAACCGAGTTGCTCATGGGAAGGAGCATGTGGGGGAGAAGGACCTTTATTCGTCTCTTCGAACGGAGCCCGGGTTGAATCCGCCCCCAGGTTTACTTTTTTTACTATGTATGACCTTCTCATCAACAGACGTTTCCCGAATAACCATTCATTTAATGAAAAACCTGCGCTTGTTAGCAGCTGAATCACTCTCTCCTCTCGCAGCGGGCCTCTTTTCTTTCCCCCGCTGGCATGAAGAAAGGGCCCATTTCACTAGCTCTTCTTCTTGCGAGAATAAATAGAGGGCTAAATAGCGCCTTTGAATGAGTAGATCTTCCCGCCCCCGTGCCCCCCTTTACTCAATGCTCTTGAGGTCCGAAAAAGAAGACTGAGTGGACAGGGGGCAGGGAAGTTAAGTTACAGAAATGGTAGTCGTGGACTGGTACCGCGGTACTGCCTACTTTGGTTACTCCTTATTGTGATCCCTCACTCTGGGCTAAGAGAGTCTCTTAAGTGCTAGCGTAGCGGGAGAGCAAATAGCAATGAACCTTATCTAAAGTATTAGTTCCCTCCTACCTACAGCTCTCTATGCGAGGAAAAGGGTATAGGCGGATTGACGCATCTGAGCAGGCAGGGAATACACTTAGTGCTTGGAATATGAATGCTATGAGGCTTGGGCGAGAGAACAGGTCCAGGAGGCCTAGATATTGCATCATGTGAAAGCAGCGCTAAAAGACCAATAAGAGCTGTAAACAAGTGAGATAGGCACGGAGGGGGGCATTCTGGGGATGTCTTTCATCAGCCAGCACCTTCAACAGCCAGTGGGACAGATGCCGACACAAAGAATATTCCAGATTCAAGATAGGGTACGACCGATGACCAGGCAGGGCGGGATGAAGCAAGCAGCAAGGGATTGGCTTGGCTGAATAGAACAGATGCGACCGGTAATGGGATATTGAATGGAAAGAACGAAAGCGACGTACGTACTGGATTGACCGGCGTGTGCCAACTACTCTACTTCCCTATTTCTTGCCTTTTCACCTCCCCTAATTGGTGCACTCTTTCCCCCAATTCCCCGATAGAGAAGAAAGAGATAAGCAATGACCGGACTAGACCAATGAAAGCGGACCAAGGTTTTTATGCGTTAGCCAAGCGCGCCCATTACAGCGCCTCTATTACAGAAGCGAAAGGGACGCGCCCTATTGACCAGCCGAAGAGCATCCTTATAAAAGAATGAATGGGAAGCAGGTATTATTATCGCTTAGCGCTTGTGCTAAGGAACGGTCTATATTGCTAGAGTTATCTTTACTTCACCCCCCGCGTACTCCTCTATTCTTATATTTGAATTCCGTCTCTAAGCTTCCCCTTTAGTGCCCGCCGAGACTTATTTCCTCTCGACTATAGTTGAATGGAAGTTTCATTTCCTAAGTCTAATAAAATTTCTTTTATGGAGTCCCCATAGTGCGTGCATTCCCCTACATAGTCTGTAGAATAATTTCTCACTAAGAAGGGTTACAATATAATATATATAAGAGAATTCCAGATTGAAGATCTCTTGATCCCATATACGATCCAGTTCTACATCTTAGCGCTGAAGTAATGAATAGAAATTGAGCTTCACTTCGCGAGTCGGGAATGGCATCATTTATTAAAAAGTGCTAGCGTTGACAAGAGATGAGCTAAAGAGGTGGCCGGGCAGTTGACCAGACCCTATCACATACAGACAGCAAGCAAGAGCTGTGCCGGCTTATCCGGAAAATTTCATTATTGTCAAAAAAAATGCTACTACCTCTTTGCTAAGCACAGGAATGCTTGATCGAGAAAAGCAAGCAAAGAAGCAGCAGGATGCGGAATATGAAGGGGCTAGGGGTAGAGCCAATAACCAATTGAAGAGTTACAGACTACAGTATAAAGCCCTCAATCATGCTCTTGCCAGTGACATAGATTGTATATACTCTCGCCGATTAAGGCAAATTCTGCGCTCCACGAAAAAACATAGGGAGTCCTTCCTCCTGGACTTAAGGAAGGCAAAACAAAAAAGTGCCCCTATGACTCTGGTTCTAGTGAAAGCGATGAAAGTATAGCTGTGCTCCAGTTTTTCGGGTAAAGGTTATACGGTGAAGAGCCCAGCCCGGTCAAGGCGACCTTATTAAAGGAGAACATTAGGGACATAAAAGCCTATGGTAATCTCGTCCTTAGTTGCCGAATCTAATGGAGGTTTCAATCCGACGGATCAACCGTAATTTGAAGGTAAAACGGGGGAAATGATGGATGGGAACTCCTACTCTGACTATTGTTGCGATCTCTAAGCGGGATTTTCAGTCATCTATCCCTTTTCTTTCCTGAAGAACGAGTGGATGTTTTGAACGAGTGTTGAGCGAGTGAAGTGCCCCATAAGCTATAAGGGTGAGCTATATGTTTAAATTCCGTGAGCAGCGATTGAACTGAACGTTCCAAGTGCATTCAGCAGGAATCGAACCTACGAATTTTCGCCCCGGCTGGGCGCTTTAACCATTCAGCCATGGATGCACAAAGACTCGGCGAGTGAACTAGGTTTTGGTATTCCTTCTCGAGCTTCTATTTCTTCCGTTAAAGGAGATTCGAGAAAAGATGGAATAGGAAGACGTGTTTCCAGAACAAACAAGATACGGGTTGAGAAGGGGGAGTTAGCAAAGTTAGACAAGATTGGAATGGGCATAGGAACATGTATTGATGTACCAGATCGGCTAATGCTCCCAGGTTGATGCGATGTATTCCACCAATTGACTGAAGACTTGATTATTGTCAGATGCGTCAATCCGCCTATACCCTTTTCCTCGCATAGAGAGCTGTAGGTAGGAGGGAACTAATACTTTAGATAGGTTCATTGCTATTTGCTCTCCCGCTACGCTAGCACTTAAAGAGACTCTCTTAGCCCAGAGTGAGGGATCACAATAAGGAGTAACCAAAGTAGGCAGTACCGCGGTACCAGTCCACGACTACCATTTCTGTAACTTAACTTCCCTGCCCCCTGTCCACTCAGTCTTCTTTTCGGACCTCAAGAGCATTGAGTAAAGGGGGGCACGGGGGCGGGAAGATCTACTCATTCAAAGGCGCTATTTAGCCCTCTATTTATTCTCGCAAGAAGAAGAGCTAGTGAAATGGGCCCTTTCTTCATGCCAGCGGGGGAAAGAAAAGAGGCCCGCTGCGAGAGGAGAGAGTGATTCAGCTGCTAACAAGCGCAGGTTTTTCATTAAATGAATGGTTATTCGGGAAACGTCTGTTGATGAGAAGGTCATACATAGTAAAAAAAGTAAACCTGGGGGCGGATTCAACCCGGGCTCCGTTCGAAGAGACGAATAAAGGTCCTTCTCCCCCACATGCTCCTTCCCATGAGCAACTCGGTTGGCTTCGTGAACGAGAGCGCTGATCACCCTCACGCGGGAAGATGAACATTGAAAGGACTGAAAGGGTAGCGACGAAATGTAGATGTTGATTTTTGAGGTCGCGTACTTTAGTTATAATGCCTTCTACACGGTAGAAGCTTATACTTTTCTTTGGTCCCGGCCGACCAAGCGTAACGACCACAGAAGGTACGGCCGGAGAATTTTTCTCCAAGTCAACAGCATGTCGGGCAGGTCAAAGGTGATCCTCCAATCCGGGGAGAATCGAGAGGTCATGATAACAGTTGACGAGTGAGGCGAGGGGCTTATTCCTCTCAATCGACGAGGGCTTGAGTCCCCTACGGCCAGTACAATGCGCTAGTAGCATCTTCTATAACGCTGGCATCTTCTATAAAGAAAGCTGTCCTGGGGGACTCCGTCTCGTCTTTAGGGACTATATTCATCGTAATTAAGCAATCGTTTCTTGCGTTATCAGTTTTTTGCGTATAATAATTGCTGAACGTACGGCTTGCGGTACCGCTTATGGTACTGCTTGCGGTACGGACTGCTCTTCCTGCTGTTAACAGCGCTTTCCTTTTCTCTTTTGGGGGGGTTTCAGGCCTAGCTTGACGCGGCAGTAGGGACTGCTTTTCTTTCCGTTGCGGGCTGGGATTGCTGTCATGCTTTTAGCTGAGTGCTTTCCGACCGTTTTCTTCCCGAAGTCAGACTACTACCGAGCTCCGCACCAGGGCTCAAACCATGCCTCAAGGAAACAATAGCCCCCACAACCCAAAGGCTTTCCGAGAGATCCGAGAGACATGGTTCAACTAATGGTGCGCTATCCTTCTCCCAAACATTTCTCAGCGAAACCAATGAGTACAACTTTTTAAACGGAAACTACGAACAAGATCTTAGAGCTGTCTCAATCATCCACAGCTCCGGGATTAATGTGCTGTTTTTTATGCTGGAGTCATGAATCGCCTCTTTGCACTTTTTTTTTAACCTTTTTTTCCGTGTTCCTCTTTTTAGTAGAAAGCGAAATGAGAATAATGAGAATCGTAGTAGTAGTTCCACGCCCCCTCTCGCCCCTTAAACCAACCAAAAAGGAGAAGGCGCTTTCCGAAAACGATCAAGGCAGGGATTTCCGGTAGTCATCTATCGCGACAATGGATCAACCCGATTTCCAAGCTAGAAGAAATTAACAAAAATTCAAACTTGGAAAGACAGATCTCGCTAAAAAAGTGGAACTCCAACCATTATCCTTATGGAAACCGCTTGCCACCGGGATCGGCCAGTTGCCCTTTCATTTTGCTTCGGCAATAGATCAAAATAGAGGCAACAAAGCCACCCCCTGGATCGCGTTATTGGATTACGCCGCAAGACAAAGTAGTCGTACAAGGACACTCGGCTTATCAGAGGCAATGGCCTTCGCCTACGTCAAAGACAGCCGATTCGCCCTACTAACATGTCTTCTGCTGGGATTGGGTGTCTGGTGGTACCTTCTGCCGGAGCCCCTATTGGTTTAACCAACGGCTTGCTGCTCACCTGAGTGCGCTAGTGCAATTAAGGTAGTTTACTTGCTCGACCATAGGGAGAGGTAGCTTGCTTACTTAGTGCTTGCACTAAGGAAGCCGCACAATGCCAAATGAGGTCTCTGGGCTTCCCGTGTATTCATCCAAATTAGATCCATGATAAAGTTATGGACACGTCCACAAAACCGAAAGTCTTTCGATCCCATCAATGCCAATGGGTGTGCTTAAGAGCTGGTGGCAACCGAATACCTTTCACACCTAACCCGGGCTTTTGCCAACAACCTTTCTTTCAAAATCCACTTGGTGAACCTATCCAAAGTCCAGGAACAGCTACAAAGGCTTCAAGAGACAGTGGCTCGAAGCATTAAGAGGAAATAGAAAGATTCGTATGAAGAGGTCCTCAACCCTTAGATTTGGAAGGAATGAGAGGGCCGGGTAGCTGAACCTACATAGCGAAAAGGGGGATCCCCTTAGGGCAAGCACTAAGCAAGTAAACTACCTTATTCGCGAGAATTTCCTCCCTCCGGTGCTGTCTCCTCACTAAGCGCTCTTCTTGTCGTTTCAACCTTTCCTTCATATCTAATTTGGCCTGAAGTCTTTCTTTAGCTTGATCAGATAATGGTGCTCCACTTTTGGACATAGAGTTTGATATCACCCAATTCTTCGTTTACTAACGTAGAACTCATACTACGCCAGTAGGGGCTAATCAAAGTAAAGAGAGTCCAATCTCTGAAATAGAGCTTGGTCTCTCCATAGTAGTATAGTATACTAAGGCGTAGGTTATGACTTGATCCAATAGAGTCAGAACACCTTTATATCTAAAAGAAATGGTGCTCAATGAAACGATCCAGATTCCGCACTATGCTGTGGGTTGGGGAGAGAGCTGCTCTGCGAAGCTGGGCGTTCAGTGTTCTTATGGAGGAACCATACTAGAAAGAGAATAGAAAAGGCCTTCACTTCAAAAAAGAGCGGGGGAGTGATGGGCAACCTTAGTCTATATGTTGCTCGTGAGCCGCCAAGTACAAGTCTCGCAACAGTACTGGCGCAAAAGGATCGGTCCTTCACTTGCCGATCGTTCGCGAGTCGAACTCGCTCTCTTGCCACGCCTTTCACTCACTCGCTTGAGTCGGGCTCAATCACTCTTTTTGTTTGGAGGATCATTCGTTCTTCACTCTCTTTATATTACCCGCGGGGAGCGCAGCAACCAAGGTGCATATTATCATATAGAAACAAGCGAACCGTAGCGATTCGTACTACCGGAAAAGTTTCGCTAACCGGCAGGCAATAGAGTCCGCCGATATGCGCAAGCAAGCGTAGCGAATCACATAGATAAGCCCCTACCTGCCAGCGCGCGTATAGATAGGGCGAGCGAAGCGCGAAGAGGATGGATGTCTGAGCGGTTGAAAGAGTCGGTCTTGAAAACCGAAGTATTGATAGGAATACCGGGGGTTCGAATCCCTCTCCATCCGCGAAGTCATAAGTTATCTCTTGCGTTATCTATAGATAAGAACGAATCGGATCGACTCGACTGAATGGGTAGCTTGTGTTATGATATAGACGGAGGTTCTTGTGTTATGATTTAGTTAGGACTTTGTCTCCCTTTCGTTATCTTCCGCTCCCCTTGTATAGGTTGGGCAAGGGCCGGGTGGATTACCTTTGGGAGCTAAGCCGAAGATCTCGGTGGTCTTGTGAGTGGTTGATAAACTACGATTGCAGTTTTCTTTAGGAAGTCCCATAGCTGTGAGGCTTAACAGACAAAGAAAACGGTGGATACTTCCGGGTAGAAGGTGACGACCCTAATGAATCGACTATGAAGGTGGCTGTTAGCTACATCAGCGCTCAAATTCCTTCATCGTCCCTGGCTTCGATGATCAACCCCTGGCACATTTAGGTTTTGATCTTCGGCCATCCTGATCCTCAGGACCCAACACAATATTATTCATTCTTATATATTTCCTTTAAAAGATGCAAAAGGTGTTGATACGTCCTATCCACATAGAAAGCTTACCCTCTTCCACACATTATCGGTGGATGCTACAGCCGCTAACACTTTGGCTGCAGGAGGGGAATGGTTAAGTGAAACTCTCGACGTCTTGTTTGGTAAACGGGATGTTTACCCAGGCGCCGTAGTCTTGCCTAACCGTTCGGTCGGAGATACCTTTGTATGGTATAGCAAGCTGTTTAGCTACTTGTATCGATTTGCCACAGTGTGGTTAGATACAATGCGATGGCAGCCGCAGCTTGGCAGGATGGGAATGAAGGGAGAGGGAGCAGGGAAGAAAAGGTTATTCCCTATTGGCTCACCCTTGTATCAGGCCTCGGTACGGCCTATACATGATTGGGCCATGACGGTTTTGGCAAGGTTAAAAATGGGTGGTACCTATAACCAGACCCAACCGTTGCAGTACCTGATAGGAAAGAAAAAATGATTTTCTTTTGATCTCAAGGCTGCTACCGATTCCTTACCTGTTATCCTGACGTCCTGTATGATTGCAGGGTTGTTCGGAAATCCCTTTGCAACTTCCTGGACGTTCATACTTTGTTCTGTAGTCTTTCAATTACCATATTTAGATAATAAATAAAGGCTATAGGTCATCGGCTGTGACGTTCACGAAGGTAGTTTACTTGCTTAGTGCTTGCGCTAAGGGCTAGGGTTGCTTTCTCTGTTGGTTGAATTCGCCACTAGGTGGAATCAGACCTTCGGCTCTCGATTGCTGCTTGATTACCTATGTCGCTTGCGTTAAGCTTTCTTCGCTTTCAGTTCTCGGAGATGCACAGGTCGTGGATTCCAAAGCCTAACAAGCCAGGAAAAATGCGCCCTATAACACCATGCAAGAAGGACCTCATTGT